ACCACCTCTCATCCAGCGCTCAGCTCAACGGTATGCTGAAACCTGCCATAATGTAATCGTAATGTCTAATACAATGAAAATGCCTATGTTTGTTTCCTTCTCAATGTAATTGGTATATGACTTCATCAAGGCGTATACTACTACAGTAATCGTACGATGGAATATTCCATGTTTTTTCAATATAGGGCTTATTGATATAACATTATTATTAAGATTTGACTCCACCTAGGCGGAACTTAGATGACATTGAAAGTAAACTGTGACCGAATTAATTATGAGTAATATAGTTCACTTGTACGCAGTTTACTTGTGTCACGCATGTCTTTGGTAAAACAGAAATTACATCATCCACATATTATGAATAACATGTAGATCTAATCGTTTTATTTATTTATTTATTATTATTATTATTATTATTATTCAATGTTTTTCAATTATCATATTAATATTGATAATTTATATATCTATTTGGTTTTGTTGACCAAAACTTCACTGAATATGGCTGTATCTGTCGTAAAATAAAATATTTATTGTACTAGTATTTTCAACCTTAGGTCATCATCAGGTACTGATAGAAAAATGGATTGAACAAGATTAATAATAGAGAACATATACAACAGAATTGGTATTAATAAGACCTTAATGGCTGTACAAACGAAATGGCAAATAAATGAACATAGTATTACAATACCCTGCCTCGCCTAAAGGGCGTGTAATGGCACAGATTCTAAAAAGCCTGACAAAAGAGAACATGTACAAAGGCATATTATATCATAATATTTCGATTCAATATCCAAGATAAAGAAGGATAAATAAATATATGAATTAATCACGAAAAGATTTAAATGACACGTAAAGTCCATTAGGTTTTAAGGTACCTAGTTGAAAAATAATACACTCTTCCAAACGTCTACGATTTAATTCCGTTGAATTACATAGATTGATACCGGTAAGTAATATATCATTATTAATATTATTATTTTCTTATGGACGTCTTTTTTAAAATTTATTATAGGACTTATAACAAATGACAATTGTTAGAAGGTACCGGTACTAATTTTCATGACCTTATCCTTAGGTGCCCAGAAATGTCAATCTAGAAATTTGTACATATACTTTCAAAAGGGCACTTTTTAAAAGGAGGGGTTACTTCGAATTCTTCAAACCCCCTGGCTCTGGGCCTGAGAAATACATGTGAATTTCTCTCGAATAGAAAATCGGTCGATGGTCCTATAATATAATATAATATACCTTCGAAGAATAAAGAGAATATAGAAAACTTTGAAGGACTACTTTAACTATACAGACACGATATGGTTATACTATTATACTTGGTTCAATTCCAAATCATAATAGCAAGCATATATGTTTAACATTTGATCATTTTATACATTATCAATTATAGATCTACTCTACACATGGAATATGTTATGTGCTGTTATTCGTGAAATAGTACAACAGACGTAAATACGGCTCTGCCTGAAATTATTTTTTTTTTGTTTTGTAGAAGTTTAAAGATGTTAATAAAAAAAAAACAAAGCTGAGAAGTTTTGAGAAAAAATAAATTATTTGTTAAAAATTAAGAATGAAATGAAAATAACAACGAAAACTGACATCGATTAGAGATTTATTATTTTTTTTAAGTAATTAGTTTTTTAATTTTTATAAATTGATACAGACATACACACACACACACACGCATCCACCCACCCACACACACACACCACACACACGCACACACACACGCACACACATTACGAATA